CAGCTCTAAGTCTTCTGCCGACTGGAGCTGTTTGCGTGTTTTCCCAGCGGGTCACGGGGCCCCATCAATGTGGTGAGAGGGACGGGAGGTCAGCCAGGCCGGTGCCCTCGACATTTCCCCTCCCCCGCAGACAGGCCAGGGCCTCAGGGAAACCACTGGCCTGAGTCCAGGTCCCCGTGTCTCGTCCCGGCTCTGTCTCTCCTGGTCATGCAGTCCCGGGCATGAGCCCTGCCACCTGTGAACTGGTGGTGTTCTGAGCAGGGGCGGTGAGCTTTTTCCGTAACAGGCCAGAAAATAAATACTGAGGCTTGAGGGCCGCATGGTCCTTGCTGCTACTATTCAGTGCCGTCTTTGCCATGGATAAGACATAGACAGCGTGTACACGAGTGACCATGGCTGTGATCCCGTTAAGCTCTATTTACAAACGCAGGTGGAGGGCAGGATGTGGCCCCCAGGCTGGAGTTTGCTGACCCCATTCTCGAAGGACAGCCCGGGCCATGGAAAGGGGCTTTGCCTGCACTGCAGGCCCTCTGTTAACATCCTCACACCAGGCTCCCTGCGTGCGTCCCCCACCCAGCAGGCGGCCTCCAGTGCCGTCTGGCAGCAGCCCAGGCCCCACGTGCACACAGTTCCTGGTGCAGAGAATCCTGCAGCCCGAGGGAGCTGACGTCCGAGGTTTCCGTGCAACACACACTGTGCATATGTAACATGGAGGGGCTGCCTCTTAGTATTTGAATCCTGGCTTTCTTAAGGCTTTTATATGTCTCTCTCCTTTGAGCAAGGCCACATTACCATAAAGACACACACACAAATAGCAAAGGAGAAAAATGGACTAGAGGAGACAGAGCACCATCTCCCTGGCGTGATTTTCCAGGATTTCTGAGCTTTGTCCTCACAACGAGGCCTCTTGCAAAGCCCTTCTCTTTAGAACACCGCGTGTCAATTGTGCAACACCAGCATTTTCCCAACTCACGCCCCTCGAGGCGGCGCTGGGTCACGGGGCAGCTCGGGACACACTATTTCCTAGTAAACACGTGGCCTCTATGCCCCTGACCCACCTCTCCCAGGCTCCTGCGTGGCGCTCGTCCCCGGGACTGGGAGGGGTAGGGCTCTCGGGAGACAGTCAGAACCCGCAAGGTGAGACTGTGGAGAAGGAACTGTGGCCAGTGAGTAGGCAACGAAAACGCCTTTTTCATGTGACTGCACACAATCAGTTGATGAGGTTGGTTGGCTTTATAACTGAAATGCCCAGAGTGCCCCAGGCCCAGGCGTGGTAACCTGGCTTGACGGTTTGGTGGGCGTGAGCTCTGCGGGCTGTCACACGGTGTCTAATATTTATTAAAATGTTGAGTTACCATGAAATGGCAGGGAGGGGTTATGTTTACAGCAATAAAGCTTGGAAGTGAATTCGTACTTCTCTGGGTGGAAATGTATTGATAGCAGTTTTCTGAGGTGGGTGTGAGGACTGGTTTTACCGTTTCTGCAAACAATTGGGGAGAGTGCTGACATCGCACACCTCATGGTTCCACTCATGCTCAGCCGGCTGCGCTGCTGTGAGGTGGCGAGCCTGCGGCCATGGGCTGCACCAGGGTACCTGCTGGCTGTAAGAGACGGAGAATATGGTAGATAAGGTTGGCGAGACAAAGTAATGCGATAAAGTAACTCAACTCATCTTTAAAGGATGACAGATCCACGCTGTGCTGAGGGTAGGAGTAAGTGACTGAAGCTTGTTCTGAAAGATTCTGGTCCAGATCAGGAGGGGAAGGAAGACCCTCGCTGCCTTTGGTTGATCTGTGACTCCCAAGCACTGTGCATAATTATCACGTCCAGATAGAAGAAAAACAGTGGAGATATAAAGATACTGCAAAGGCATTAAAGACAGGGCAGGGAATGAAAAGGTTTTCATGTAAAAAAACAAAAACAAAAACATTAGACCTCGACCCAGAGAAAGGAAGGTGTATCTAATAACGAAGGGCGGCCGTTGACAAAGCGATGTCGTCGTCATTCTGGAGTTATGGGAGGAGCACAGCAGGTCCCCTCACGGGGGAATTCAACAGCTTTCTTTAACTTTCTGTGTGTGTGTGCGCGCGCATGCGCCCGTGTGTAGCTAGCCCACTCACGTGGTTCAAAATGCAAATATTGTAAAAGGGACCAGCCCCTGTTATGGCCGAGGCTTGCCACCCAGTCCTCCCGCCCCCATGGGCAACCACGTCTCCTTTCATTCTTAGATGCATTTGATGAGCATATAAAGAAATATGTCTTCGTGTCCCTCCTGCCTTATTAAACACAATGGTGGCACCACAGACACAGCCTCCCCCTTGATTTTGCTCTGAGCCCTTTNCCAATCCCTATCAATCAGTGATGTTTAAACGCAAAGCTGATAGACGCACCTAAAGACTGCCATCCCAGCCCGTGGCAGTTCACCAGCTCTGCGTTTCACGCTTACAGATGAGCCTGAGCCAGGAAAGGCACTGAATTTGGGCATTTATCAGAGTCTCCCGGTGACTCCATCCGCCTAACCCACCCACAAGCGTAACCATGCTTACGGTGGGCCTGCCAGGACTTTCCTTCTCCGCAGAGGGAAGGGTGGAGGGGACCCAGGCACCGCATGTCTGCTCTTTGCTCCACAGGTACACTCTGGTCCCCACGTCCATCCTGCTGGGACTTGGAGCCGCCCCGCTGTGGTCTGCTCACTGCACCTACCTCACCATCATGGGAAACACGCACGCCGAGAAGGCAGGAAAAGTTGGCAAGGATGTGGTGAACCACTATTTCGGCATTTTTTTTCTCATATTCCAGTCGGCCGGTGTGTGGGGAAACCTGATCTCATCTCTGGTGTTTGGCCAGACGCCCACGCAAGGTACACGGAAACAGGGCTCCGTGGTGACCGCTGAGAGGGTCCCCGACCCATGGACACACGTCTTTATTTTGTGACTTGAGCAGGTGGCCACACGAGGCCCGAACGTGGTTCCCAGTATGCCTGTGCGCCTGCCTCTTCCCCGCGGGTGGGTGGGCCTGAGGGTCCGCCGAGCCCAAAGGCGCCCGCCGTTCTGACCCTGGCCTACCCTGCTCACTGCCAGTGGGCCTTGCGCCCTGTCCTTTAGACTGCGTAAGAACGGGTTCGACTGATTTATTTCCCCACTGAATTGATCCACTGATCAGTGTTTTAAATGTTACACATAAGACTATTGATTTCTTAACTGATTTGAACGTTTGATGGCTGACGTCTTAACACATCTGTTTTTACCTGAGTTGGCCCAGACGTGGGTATAAAGCTTGCACCCTTTAATGTCTCAGGGTTCAAACCAAAGGCAGAGGATACAGATCTCTTCAATTCTCACAGGAAACCTCTCTCTGTGGGGGAGAATCCTGCCTCCCCTGACTGTTACAGTATGTCCTCATCCTGTCCTCCATGCTGCTCTCCCACATAAACTGGAACCAAAATCCTTCTTCCCGTTTGTCTTAGATGATGTGATAGTTCAGATTTTATTTTTTTAACCGATAGGGATATGACCTTTCAGAATAGGTATGAAATAACCTGCCTAAGGTCATGGAACTGGATATCTATGAACCTGAAAGAGAACCCAGCCATCCTGACACTTTGTTTCTTCTTAATTAACTTTTAAAAAGTTGAAATTTTTCATTTCTGTCCAGGAAAGTAATGTAACAACCAACCAACATTTATCGCACATTTGTCCAGTGTCTTAAAATCAAGTATGCACACATGTGCCTTAGGGGAAATGTGTTTTGAGACACTTGGTCAAACAAACCATGTTCTGTGACATCAAGTTATTATGTTCCTGGCCCTGGGCGTGTCCATGCTCCTTGTCACTGGGCACTTCCGTTCCTCATGTCCCATATCCTACCGAACACCTGCGTTCTCATGTCACCTGTTTCTCCCACTCCACAGGTGCCATTCCTGAGGGGCAGCTCCTGTCCTGTGGGGCCAGTGACTGCCTGATGGCCACGGCGCCCACCAACAGCACGCAGCGTCCCTCCCAGGAGCTTATCTACACCCTGCTGGGCATCTACACAGGTACGAGTGTGCTTAGCGGCTCCGGGCAGAGTCCCACCGGAAGCAAGACTAGCTCCTTCCTGTGTTGGATAAGACCCTCTCCCCAAAATATAAGTGACCTCCACACGGTGCTTTCCACTGGATCGCACTCAGAGATTTTCACCCGGAGTCGAAGCCGACTGACGGTGTTAACTCACAGTTTCCTGTGGTGATGGAATTGCCGTACCTTAGCACAGTCCGACACAGCAGCCACTAGCCACGTGTGCTTATTTAAATTTTAATCAAGTAAATTAAAAATACTGTCGCTAAGTGTGACAGCCACATTCCAGGTGCTCCGTGGCCCCATGGGGCTGTGGCCACCATGTCGGAACGTGGTAGGACATGGCACTGGTGGGTGGCCTGTGTTTCACCTTTGTCCAAGTGACCATGGAAATCCAAAATTCCTATAAATTGCCATCATTTCCTGAGAAATATATTTGAGCGGCTCCTGCTGAAAGGCTGGTGTGGGGCACGGGTCTCTCCTGCCCGTCATCCTGGGTCACTGAAGCCTTAGGGGTGTCATTTACTGGTCATGGTGTAACTGATGGCACACAAAAGATGGCTGCCCATCAGGGGACGGGAATTGTGTGATGAGTCTCCCCCTTAGAAGCTCGCCTTTGCGGGGAAAGTTTATGTTACCGCTTTTCCAAGTGACTTCACTCTGCAGTCAACAGATTTATTACTACTTTGAAAGGGGTACCTTGAAAGTTTCTTCATTTGTTTGTTTTTACCATTTTGAAGGGAATTTACATCTAGTTTTTGTCATCCTTGAATTTGGAATTCATAAAGGTCTTGGAATGTTTCCTTCTTAAGACTCAAGGGTCTGGTATATGTCGATCTGGTGGGACTGCATCCAGGATCCTTCTGGGGATCAAAGGTTAGAAAGGCTGTGTGCACGGTCAGAGTGTCTCCAAGGCGACAGGATAAGATGCCACCAACACTCAGGTCTGTTTTAAAACCGTTTTCGAACCAGAGGTGCTGAGTGACCACCTGTAAAACAGCCACTTGATGGTGACAAAGCAGAGTGAGCAGAAGCATGTGCCAAGCAGTATACTATACCCTCTATGGCCCCAAACCTAGCAGGACGAGGACCCCACCTTCAGTAAGCTTGGAGTTCTGCACCGGGGAAAGATATGCGTTCAACTAACAAAACTTGATGCAAGTGTTTTGAACAAAGCTCCCAGTTGGTATGTAATTACCTCTTCTTGGGAAATTGGGTTTTAGGGCTCCGTCGATGAGGAGTTGGTACCCAAGCCGGGGCTTGAAGAATGAGCAGAGAAGGGCACTGAAGACAGAGTGGCCCAACAAGGGGCTGGCGTGGCTGGAGGACGAGTGTGGGCAGGGACGGAGAAGCCAGAGGTGGGGGTGGCTGGATGTGGCCCATCAGAAAGGCCTCGGTGCTGGGCCAAAGGGTCTGGACACACGCAGGTTCATTTCCTAGACACAGCCCAGTGTTAGCCTAACTAGGAAACGTGGCAAGACGGTGGGCAGA